GTGGTTGTTGTTATTTTTAGTTCATCTTTATTGTTTGTTGTAAAAATTATTTAAATTGTTATGATGCACTTTAGGAAATTAGTTTAATGGTCATCATGTCTATTGGAGTTGGACGTACATGTATGTGTGTGTGGGAGTATGAAGTTTTCTTGGGGATTTTGAAAATAAATTGAATTGGGGAGAAGATGTGGAAAGGAGAGTGGAAATAAATTTTATCATAGGAATAATTTGTGGTCTGAGATCTGTTTATAAGAGAAATATTTTTTTTTTAAATATTTGTCTTTGTCCACCTATATAAGGTGGGGATTTTTTTAAAATATTTTTTCCAACCACCTATATAAGGCGTGGTTTTTTATACCCTTCACCACACTGTGAGTACAGGGTATTATGTCTTTGTGCATATGTTTATAACAGGCAAATGAAAACGAGATATACACAAGGTTCCTTTTGAGAATATATGCGTATTCTCAAAAGGAACCATGTGTCTATCTCGTTTTCTTTTGCCTGTTACAAACACTCACTTTCTGAGACGATTTATGCATGTCAGTCCGTCTGTCCGTCTGTAGATGTTAAATTGTAAAAAAAAGAACAGGTCGTATTTATGATCCGATTTCAATGAAATTTGGTACAAGTCACTTCTTTGGCCCAAGGACGAACCCTATTGAAATTTAAGAAAATCGGGTCAGATTTAGATGTAGGTCTTTTAATTATTTTCGTCCGATTTAAGGTAAATATGGCACCAATATCGCTATATATCCTTCGATTTGCACGAAATTTGGCATAGAGTACTGAATTAAGTCCAGAATGATGTGTGCTAAGTTTCGGGAAAATCGGTTGAGATTTAAATATAGCTCCCATATATAGTTTCTACCGATTTTATGTAAATGGTGACCCGAAGTCCCTGTATAACTTTTGATTTGCACGAAATTTGGCATAGTGTACTGAATTGAGTCTTGAATGACATGTGTTAAGTTTCGTGAAAATCGGTTCAGATTTAGATATAGCTCCCGCATATAGTTTCGACCGATTTTATGTAAATGGTGCATCAAAGCCCCAAAATATCTTTGGATTTGCACGAAATTTGGCATATGGTACTAAATTAGGTCCAGAATGATGTGTGCTAAGTATCGTGAAAATCGGTTCAGATTTAGATATAGCTCCCATAGTATAATTTCGTCCGATTTTATGTAAATGGTGCACTAAATATCCATAGCTAAGCCGATTGACACAACGTTATGAAATTTGCATTCCTTCGAAAAGGCGACGTCTGTTAGGATACATATGTAGAATATACCCAAAGTAGTGAAGGGTATCATATAGTCGGCCCAGTCCGACTTTACTACTTTCCTTACTGGCTTTTTAAATATTTTTTACCCATCTATATAAGGCGTGGATTTTTTAAAAATATGTTTTTCTCGAACCTATGTAAGGTGTGAATTTTTTTTAATATTTTCTTTAATAGTTTTAAAAATCCACGTCTTAGTAGGTTTGGGAAAAAAATATTTTTAAAAAATCCAATTTTAGTCTTTCATTGTTTTTGTGCAACACACTAAGAAAATTGAATAAAAAATTCAAATGCATAATTGATTTGAAACAACTTTCATTTAATTGACATGAATTTTGTATTTTGTTTTTTCTCAAACACATTGTGTTGAACAATAACACTGCACATACATATAAACACACATATGTACATGTGTGTGTGTGGTTTATTTAGTCGGTTTTAATAATTAAAATTTATCCAAGACCCCTCCCTAGCCATTTTGTCCCACACTCTGTTTGTAGTTTTCTCAAATAAATTGTTATTTGCCACAAAGTACATGTTTGACTTTTGAAAGAAATCCACACATGAAAATTGTTGTTGTTTTTGGCATTTGTCTTATCCAACTACTAACAACTTCTGCAAACTGTTGTATCTCTGTAGATGGTTTATAGAAAATTAAACATTTACAACACGACAACATTTTGAAGTTTATCCTTTCAAGTTCAATGGTTCAGTTCAGAGAGCAGAGGATAAAGGAGATAGGAGAGAGATAGCCGGAAATATTCTTAAACCTAACTTTGTTGTAGAAGACAGTAAATGATTTGTTGTTTGCCTTTTGTTGCCATCGAACATGGCACAGCCAACCTATTGTAACATAAACTTCCTTCTTCTTGCTCTTTGCTCTTTTTAAGTCTTATAATTTAATTACATTCAGTTGTCAAACAAAGAAAAAAAACAAAACTTTTTTGCTTGACGACAATCATGCAGAACTTGAACCTAAAGTTCTCAGCCCTGGAACTTTATTCCTGAAATCCTTTAATCTGTCGGAATATGTTTTTTTTTTCATTTCTTCTACCAAAATGATGATTTAATCCTTTAAGATATTTAATGCCATTAGTGTGCCCTTTTTTTACCCCTGCCTTGCGTTCATCTAACGTAGCAGCACGTCCTGGCACGTGTTTGGATTAAATCCTCTTCAATTATTTTCGTATGAAGAGAGAATTAATGACATCCAAATCAATTAGATTTATTTTCATCAAATTCACGCCTTATATAGGCTCTGGAAAAAATAAATTTTAAAAATCCACGCCTTATATAGGCTCTGGAAAAAATTAACTTTTAAAAATCCACGCCTTATATAGGCTCTGGAAAAAATTAATTTTAAAAATCCACGCCTTATATAGGCTCTGGAAAAAATTAATTTTAAAAATCCACGCCTTATATAGGCTCTGGAAAAAATTAATTTTAAAAATCCACGCCTTATATAGGCTCTGGAAAAAATTAAATTTAAAAATCCACGCCTTATATAGGCTCTGGAAAAAATTAATTTTAAAAATCCACGCCTTGTATAGGCTCTGCAAAAATATATTTTTAAATATTCACGCTTTATATAGGCTGTGGAAAAAAATATTTCATTCGACATATTCACCGTCAACGACGAAGATCGGCCCATAGATCTTTCGGAGAATTTTTCTCTCAAAGACACTCCAAGAGCTTCAAATCCATATAACAGCACATGCTTCAAATCCATATAACAGCACGGGTAGTATCAGCGTCTTGTAGAGTGTGAGTTTGGTCTGGCGGGGAGGTGGCCTTGCTTTTGAGTTGTTTGCTCAGATCATAGTAGCATCGGTTGGCCATCACTATTCTTCTCCGAATTTCAAAACAGATGTCATTCGTTTTGTTTATGGCGGTACCAAGGTATATATGAAATCTTTAACTACCTCGAAGCTGTAGTTCTCAAGTTCCACTGTTGGTCCGAGTCTACTGGACGTTTTGCGCATTGATACCATCAGCTTGGTCTTCTCGCCGTTTACTGCCAGCAGACCCACTTTGGCAGACTCCTTCTCAATTTGTTCTAACATGGCTGTTATCGCTCTCAATGGTCGACCCATTATGTCGATGTCATCGGCGTAGGCGAATAACATGTGTTGTTTGGTGTACAGAGAGTACCATTTCTGTTCACTTTTGCCTCTCGTATGACCCTTTCTAGCAACACATGGCAGACTCCTTCTCAATTTGTTCTAAGGTGGCTGTTATCGCTCTCAATGGTCGACCCATTATGTCGATGTCATCGGCGTAGGCGAATAACATGTGTTGTTTGGTGTACAGAGAGTACCATTTCTGTTCACTTTTGCCTCTCGTATGACCCTTTCTAGCAACACATGGCAGACTCCTTCTCAATTTGTTCTAAGGTGGCTGTTATCGCTCTCAATGGTCGACCCATTATGTCGATGTCATCGGCGTAGGCGAATAACATGTGTTGTTTGGTGTACAGAGAGTACCATTTCTGTTCACTTTTGCCTCTCGTATGACCCTTTCACCAGGATGTTAAAAATGTCACACGACAAACTATCAGCTTGTCTGAATCCTTGTTCGGTATTAAAGGCCTCCTAGACGTCCTTTCCGACTTTAACTGCTGATCTTGTGCCTGTTAAAGTTATCCTGCATAGCCGTATTAATTTTCGACAGGAATGCCAAACGCAGACATGGCTTTATACACCTCTGAACGGATAGGGCTGTCGAATGCGTTGATTTTGGAATGTGTTGATTTTTTTTTCTAGGATTTGGCGCAGAGTGAAAATCTGTTCAATGGTGGATTTGCCAGGTCTAAAGCCACATTGGTATGATCCAATAATGTCATTCACCATTGGCTTCAGTCGTTCACACAGCACGCTGGATAGCAGTTTATATGCGATGGGAAGGATACTTATTCCTCTATAGTTTGCACATATCGTCTCTTTTGTGCACGGGACACATGCTGAGGTTTCAATCATTGGGCATCCATTCCTCTAGCCAAATTGTACTAATCAGCTGGTGCATGCTCCTTACCAGCATCTGACCACCAGTCTTGAATTGTTCGGCTGGTAGCCCATTGGCTCCTGCTGCTTTTGATTGATTGCTATTCTGACTTCATCTTGGCTAGGTGGTATAAACTCTATACCGTCATTTATTATTGGTTCTGGGGTATCCAATTCACCGCCACTATTTGATACCAGAAGTTTTTCAATATACTCCTTCCAGATCCTCAGCACGCTGTCTGTATCTGTCACCAGGTTTTCTTCTTTATCTCTACAGGAGAATGTGCCTGCATCAAAGCCTTCGGTTTGATGTTTTACTCGATGGTAAAATTTTCGGACTTCATTCTGACTCCTGTACATCTCGATTTGCTCAAGCTCACGTTTTTTTTTTTTGCTATTTCTTCTTTTTTCCTTCCTCTCTCCTTTTCTCCCGATAGTTCTCCTTCGCATTACGTGTCGCTACTGTCCGCAGGTTTGCCCTATACGCTCCTTTTTTCATATCAGTAGCATTACGATACTCCTGATCGTACCACGGATTTCTTGATGGGTGGTTTTTGGTACCCAAGTGTTGCTTTTGCTGCAGTTTGTAGGATGTGGGCAATTCTCTGTCACGCCTTATATAGGCCTTGAAAAGAATATTTTTAAAATTTATGTCAAATTAATTTTTTTAATATTCAAAATTTGTTTCTAATTTCCCCTTCAATATTTTGTTTTCTTTACAGTCAATTCACCTCCCCGCATTATTAAACAGCCACCCACAGATGAGTTGCTCTTCAAAGTCGCCCAGGCCACAAAGGAAAGTGACAAACCGTTTATTATCGAATGTGAGGCTGAAGGAACACCGGATCCAACGTAAGTACCACCAAACAACAAAATAAAATATGGGTCAAAAACAGCAACAATGATCCCGAAAAAAATATTAAAAATAGCTACGATTTTCCATTTTGTCCGAACCAATTAGTATTGCTTAAGACGTAATGATGAAGAATAAGAAGGGAGAATTTTCATTTGACCCAAAGAAAATTTTAAATTTGGAACATAAAGAGGAAGAGAGTGATGAGGGGTGGGGGAGGGTACGGCATCTCACAAAATTTCTAAAAAAAAAAACACACTAAAAGAAGAAGAAGACGACGACAAACTACCAAATCACGGCGACATCAAATTAAATTGGGTTAAAAAAAATTGACAGCAACAACAAAAACAACAATTCGGTCAAAAAGAAAGAAAATTTTAGAAAATTACAACAACAACAAAAACCGAAATGTGTGAACATTGTACCATGGCAGTTTGATGTCGTGGTTGCCGTTGTCTCTGCTGCATGATGGTGGTTTGCAATGTAGGTGTGATGCAGCCGGCAGTAGCTGCTGCTCCGCCACTATTCGAAACGAGGTGCCAATGTTGGCGCTTTCAAAGTGAGTGTGCCCATTCATTGCCTTGCCTCACTCACTTGATATTTCACTACTATTTTTAGTATATAATGAGGAAAGTGGGCACATGTTGTTGTAGTTTTATTTTTATATATCGGAAAATTTAAGTGTTTTTTATTTAAATTGTTTGTAATGGGAATAGAAATTTCTGAAAATCGGAAGTACAAAGGTCAGAAATTCAAGAAATTTATAAAAAATCGGTGTGTATTTATTTATAAGAAATCGACGCCTTATATAGGTGGTTAGAAAAAATATTTAAAAAAAATCTACGCCATATATAAGTGGTTGGAAAAAATAATTAAAACCAGTGAGCGGAGCAGTATAGTCGGGCGTGGCCGACCATATGATACCCTACACAAATTCCAAGAAAATCTATCTTTCTGTGGTTCTATATTCGAGCTTGGGCAATATTTCGCGATGTTTGCACCTTCTTAACCCTTCTACCCACCTTCTATAGGTTCGAGAAAAAATACTTTAAAAAAATCCACACCTTATATAGGTTCGAGAAAAAATACTTTAAAAAAATCCACACCTTATATAGGTTCGAGAAAAAAATACTTTAAAAAATTCGCGCCTTATATAGGTTCGAGAAAAAAATACTTAAAAAAATCCACGCCTTCTATAGGTTCGAGAAAAAATACTTTAAAAAAATCCACGCCTTCTATAGGTTCGAGAAAAAATACTTTAAAAAAATCCACGCCTTCTATAGGTTCGAGAAAAAATACTTTAAAAAAATCCACGCCTTATAAAATCGAGAATATGGGTTCGAGATAAAATATTTTTAAAAATTCGCGCCTTTTATAGGTTCGACATTTTTTAAATCCACGCCTTGAAAAAATATTTTGTAAAAAATGTAAGTCTTATAGATTTCTGTTATTTTTAAATCTAGTTGGGTTTGAAAGGCAACAGCAAAAATATGACGTAATTTTTGCCACTTCGAACATGGCATGGATTTGCTGTATGGTTTGTGGAGCATGTGGTTTTATATGTACCTGGGCTTTGTCACACACGCACACACACATATTACCCTCATACAAAGAAAAATATTTTGTAATCATTTTCAGAATTAATTCTTTGAAATGGCGACATTTTTTCAAACCGGTATTTTCAGTATTTTGTTTTGTCCAACCACTCAATTTTATATTTTCAAATACAAAATGTATTACAATACCCTGATCTGCTGATCATGACCATGAAAAGTTTACAATGATATTTTGGTTTTATTTCAATATTTTTGTTTTGGTTTTTTCTCCTCCAATAACATTGAATTTAAATTGAAAATTCATGTGGTGTGAAAATCTTGTAGTGTAAAGAAAAAAGATTTATAATTAAAAAAAAAAAGAAAACATATTTTCATTGTTTATTCGGCAAGCAAAAGAAAAGACTTAATTGTTTCACTTGTAGATTTAAAGTACTTGAAAATTTCCTGCCAGCCATAAATGTATCTGCAAGATATTAAAAAGTGGCAGAAGTGTCAGTGAGATGATGTGTATCTCTGGGAAGAGAGTGCGCATTCGTTTTTTTTTTTGTCTGACATGGCAAGACGTTGGAAATGCCACTTGTTTTAGATGATTGCATGAAACCCAGACATCTTTGAGAATAAAATATGAGGTAGCAGTAGCAGGGCAATTTGCCAACATACCTATCCGGGAATAATGTGGAATATAACATCATAGCCCTTAGAGTCCTTTTGTAGTATGTAATAAAATATTTATAACTTTTTGTTTTTCGTTGGTGCTAATGGCCACTGCACTTCTTCCCGCCCAAGCGGATGGCAGCCTGGAATGTGTAGTAAAGGCATACAAGTAAGGAATATTAAAGAAGGACTTGCAAAAAGCGTTGTGAATTTTGCTTTTAGGGAAAACGTAATTTTTTTTTTAAATATTTTCTTTTACCCACCTATATATCCACGTCTTATATAGGTATATTTTAAAAAATATTTTCTTACCCACCTACGGGGTGAGATAAAAAAACTGCAACAAATTCAAGCGCCGTAATTTTTACACCTTTTATACCCTACACAACTATGTTGTCAGGGTATTATAGCTTTGTGCAGCCCCAAAAGTTTGTAACGCCGCGAAATATTGGTCCTAGACCTATCTTTAAATATACCCATCGTCATATCTCGACTATCTGAGTAGATCTAGACATGTGTGTCCGTCCGTCCGTCTGTCCATTATAATTTGTAAACAGGACACAGTTATGGACCAATCTTCACGAAATTTTGCATGTAGAATGGGTTTTGGCCAATGAAGACTCGTATTGCTTTTTTGGAAAGATCGGTTAATATTAAAGGGGTGAGATGGACCAAAAACTTTATTTTTGTCTGATTTTCTGGTCGCTCCAGAGGCCGCAATTATGGTCCAAACATCGAATTTTTACATGGAGAAGGGGATTGGACCAAAGAATAAGCATGCCGGTTTTAATAAAGATCGGTCAATATTTAGCGGGGGTCAAATGGACCCTGACTTATGTGTGAAAAATTACTAAATTTTTATTCTATGGCATATATATTTACCTCTGAAGGATATAGACCCGAGAACTTGATAGTATATCATTGATAGCAATTATATTGCCTTATGTACTGGGATGTGGGGGGAGTTACACTTACATATTTACGGATATTAACGGCGGAAATATAGCGCTGATCGCTCTGAAATTTTCCTTGAGGATCTAAGTTGGATCAAGAACGACGCCAATAATTATTGGTGATGATCAGATACTAATATTGGGATGAAAACTTATTTCAGTTTGTTTTTTTTTTCGAGTCGATCTATAGACCACAATTGAAAGCCGAACATCACAGCACAACCCAAGGTGAAGGGAATCTGGAAAAGTAATTAGAAGGGCAGTACTGAATATTAGTAATATTTATTGACCTCTAGTCGGTCAAGAGAGTGCAAGTGTCCCGAAATATTGCCCAAGCTCAAAATATAGAACCACAGAAAGTTAGATGTTCGTGGAAGTTGTATTGGGTAACATATGGTCGGCCCAGCCCGACTATACTGATCCGCTCACTGGTTTTTTCTTAGAGTACCTTCCATATGGACCTATCCCTCCCAGATTTTGCACAGTGGCATTCATTGATAATTACTTCAAAAAAAATAATAAAAATTATTTTTTTCAAAATTTGCTAAATTTGCCCTTCGTATGCTTTCCAATGGTACCTCCCATATGGACCTATCCCTCCCAGATTCAGCAGAGTGGCATTCGTTGATAATTACTTGAAAAAAAAAATAATGGAAAATTATTTTTTTCAAAATTTCCTATATGAAATGTCCTGAGTATATTAAAATACCCTTCGTGGGCTTTCCAATGGTTCCTTCCATATGGACCTATACCTCCCAGATTTTGCTCTGTGGCATTCGTTGATAATTCTATAAAAAATGGAAAATTATTTTTTTTTTCAAAATTTCCGATATGAAGTGATCTGGGTATAATTTTTTTCGTAAAGGACTCAAAATTTCCGATATAAAATGATCTGGGTATAATTTTTTCGTAAAGTATTCACTGTGGACTTTTTCGTAAAGTATTCACTGTGAACCTATCCCTCCCAGATAATTCTATAAAAAATGGAAAATTATTTTTTTTTCAAAATTTCCAATATGAAATGATATGGGTATAATTTTTCCCCAAAGTACTCCCTGTGGGCTTTTCAATGGTACCATATGAGCCTATCCCTCCCTGTTTCATTGTTATAATTCGTTTTTAACTTCACACTATTGTGTTTTTACGGATCAATATAACTGTTTCGGTTTGTGTCTTCGCTAGTTAATTTTTTTTAATTTTCACGTCCATGACTTTTAGAAATATTGTTTCAGCAGCCTACATAAGGCGTGGATTTTTTAAAAATATTTTTTCAGCAGCCTCTTAAAATTTTTGTTTTGCACAGATGCCAATCGAGTAATTGATGTCGGCGGAACATTGACGTTTTTGTGTAAACTAATCACTTAATGTTCCATTATCGGTCGGTCGGTTTGACATTGAATAATGGTCACAAACATTGCAGAGTGTGTGTTTATATAAAAGATGTCATTGTCTGTATCATATTGTCATATTACAATTATGACATTATAATACATCATTTCTCTTTCTGTTGTTGTTGTCGTTATGAGGAAAAGAATGATGAGGAAAAGAAAAACATATTTACAAAAGGAAATGATGATGGACCACAGATAAACAAAAGGAAAGAACAAAAATCCCGCATCTCGCGTCTTGAGGGTCTTGGATGACATTAAAATTTGTATTAATGGTTTATTTATTTTATGGAAAAATTATGGGGCAGGGACAGGGTCAAAGAGGTGTCTAGTTTTTTTTTCAATTTTTCCCCAATTTTCCTTTTTTGTCTTTCTTTCAAACCATTAACTCCATTGACACTTTGTTTTCGATAAAGTTCATGCCATTGAAAGACCATATCTTCATTTC